AACATATTTTAAAAAGGATACACTCAACAAATCATTTAAAATAATGAATATGCTGTGCATTCAAATAAAAAAATAAAAAAACAGCATCCAGAAACAAAATCAACATACAGTATCATATACGTTTAACATCACATTGCAATATTGTACATTAGTGTTTGGTAACTCTTATATTACTGTAGGGTAGGATCATGTGCAGAGTGCCACTAATCGGTGTTATTCCTTTAACATCTCAATACGACTCTTATATCAAGAAAAAAACGTGAGTACACAAGATTGCAAAATTACACAATTTCATCTGATAAATGAAATTTCAATATCATTAACTGTATAGGAAAATACGAGCCAGGAGACAGAAAAGTCATCTTACCTTTCCTTGTTGCTGTGGAGGACTGATATCACCTGGTGCTCTGGTGGGTTAGAAGTACTGCAACATCCTTTACTTGCTTCCTCTTTTTATCTTTTAGTTGTAACCAATCATCTTTCTCCAAATAACAGGAATCAAAACAGTCAAAGGCAAAGAAAAAGGAAGCATAAAAAAGTGCATCATCAAAAAGAAGTGCAGTGCAGATGGAGTGATTTCAGGTTATGAATAAATGAACCCGAACCTGTTTGATTTTTCTCAGATTACTACTGCACCAGACCTCGAGGAGACTAACTAATAGTATTGTAGACATACCACTGCTGACATATTTAACCAAACTGACTAATAATAATAATAATTCATGTTTATCTTTATTAAAAAATGCACAAAAAGAGTGTAAAAAATAATCCAAACTTTTTGAGGACTATAAACATTTACAAGCATTAAATGACAAATCAGCTGGCTGTTCCCTTTTACACGAAACATGTAAACGCATTTCAAGAAACTGCGGTGTTAGTTTTTCAAAACTCTACAAAACACAACTGAAAAGAGTGAACCGCTTTATCAAAACCCCACACAGCACAAAAAACACTCAACAACACTCAAAATCACATTTTCTCATCTCAAAACTGATTTCATGTCACAAATTCCAGTGTGTGCAAATATCCTGTTTCTCCGTTTAGTGTAGGGTTGTTTACCTGCATCGCATTTGGAGTACTACATGTAAGTGCAACACAAATCGTTCTATAGTAAAACTCGGTATTTTCACCTGAAGTGTAGGTGTAAGTGTAAGACTACAAAGTAAATGTTTGCTCAGATACAAAAAAAAATGAAACAATATTTATTTGGGAAAGGGAAATTACATCTAAACCTCATCTTATTCTCTCACTCTCTCTCTTCTTCTTTGTTGGTGTTGCTTCATCTTCTTGCCTAACACCTGCAAAAGTTATTCTTGGTCTCTTTTATATTCTGACACATGACTATATTCTCTTTCCAACTGAGTTTGCACATGTTTGCATGTTATATGCTTTGTCTCTTTGCTTAGTTACTTTTGTGTTATTTTGGTAGTCCTTAGTTTTGCTTCCTTTGTCTCGCTTTGCCACCTGTTGCCTCTCAACCAGCTGCCTCCACTTCCTCTCATTAGTCTCGGTGTGTGCAAATGCCTCGCCTTTACGTTGTAAATATATTACATTTATACAATAC